GGGCGCGGGCAGGTCAGGCACGCCAGGGAAGGGCCAAAGCTGCCCCAGCTGGGAGCGCGGGGGCCAGCCTAAGCAGGTCAAGGCTGCCCGGGCCTGTCCAGGCTCCGCCTCCCGTTCCCGAAGGTGGCAGGCAGGCCACCCACGATGCCCTGAAGAAAACTCTTGACCTGGTTCAAGGCGCTGACCAGGTCACAGGAGTCGCTGGTGCGGCCGCTCTGACCACGAAGGTCAACCTCGCACAGGCCCCCTGCCCCAACGCCACCTGGACCCCCAGATCACAGCGAACTCCCCACGGCCGCCCCTTGGCTGAGGCCTCCCCACCTGCCTGCCCTGGGTCGCCGCTGACCCTGCTTTACACTGCAGCTTGCCGCCCGCTCTGCCGGCTCCGTGTTGACCAGTCACGGAACACACCACCGGGACGCTCTCCCAAAGCCCCCCGTCCGAGCAGGCGGTCAGCTCTGGCCCCTGGGAAGCGCGCTGGCCTCTGACCAGCCCTCCGTGTCAGCACGGACCCTCGCGGCAAGCCTGGGCACCGCTGGCCAGCGGGGCTCCGCTCACGGCCCACCGTCGGCTGGGAGGACCCTCCCGCGCTAGGTCATTAACCAAGCGAGAGAACAGGCTGCAGAATCTCCACGTTTATCAGCGGACTGACACCCCGGAACCCTGACCCCACCCCCACCTCCGACACCCCTGCTCACACCCCCTGCCCCCCGGCACCACGGACCCCCGGGGCCGGGGGTGGTGCGGGGGGCCCGAGGGCCTCGGGCTGCTGGGCGGGCACGTGGGGCTGGCACTGGGGGCACCACCAGGTCAGCCTCTGGAGGCCCCCGGGCGGCCCGAAGGCCCCCTTGCAGACCCGGTGCCCCCCGGGGCACTGCTCTTTCTGGTAGACCTGCGTGGGCTGCCTCCGGCCCTGGCACTTGCCCTGCAGCCAGTCGGCGCTGAAGCGCAGCACGTGGTCCAGCAGCGCCTGGCGCTGCAGAGGCTGGAGGAGCGAGCCCAGGGCAAGAGGGTGGACGCCAGCCCTGTACAGGGCCTCGTTCTTAATGATGTTCCCTGGAAGAGAGCAAGGTGCAGCGGTCAGCCGGAGGCGCAGGCCTGAGGGCAGCGGGGCGTGGGCAGCTGGGCCCAGCAAGGCGGGGGCCCAAACCACCATGGTTTGGCAACGCTCGTCGAGACTCGGGCTGGCGTTCGCCACGCAGAGGTCAGCCAAATGGACTCTGACAGCTGAGCGTCGCCCCGAGCCCCGGGTCACCCCAATCTGCGCTGCACGGCTCCGGCGGCGCTGAGCTGACTCGGGCTGGCGTGGGCCTGGTTTCCACGAGCAGGAAATGAGAATCCACACGCCTGCGGCGGAGGCCGAGAGGGCCCAGGGCCTGGCGGACCCCGGCAGAAGGCGCGAGCCTACGCTGGGCGGGGAAGGACGCGTCCACCCCCGCCCCACTCTGTAGGAGGCCAGCCCAGACCCTCCTGGCTGAGCCACCATGCTCTCCGGCCACAGTGATGGGAGCCTCTTCCAGGCCTTCTCGTGCCCACGGAGCTGCAGCGAGCACAGGCACGCGGGGCACAGGACAGGTCCAGGGCCAGGCGCGGGCGCGGAGCAGAAGCCCCTGCTCACTGCCCTGCTCTCTGGAGGTGCGAGCAGCACCCCCTGTCGGACACGCTCTGGCCAAGGGAGGACCATGGAGGGGGAGCTGCCAGGGGCGGGGGAGGGGGCGGCCGCTGGAGCCCCAGAGCCGCCTGCCGTCACCGTCACTGCGCAGCGGGGGCTGCCCAGGGCACAGGCCTGACCGTGCGCACCTCTGGCTCCAGGGCCGACTCCCAGGCCCACAGAGAAGTGCAGGCGCCATCCGAGCCTCCGCCCGTCCCGCGGGGCGAGCCTGCCGGCCGCCACAAGGCAGCACCGCCTGGAATGGGGTGACTCCTCTGGCCCAGATGGGGCACGGGGCCGGGCCGGGCACCGGCAGGTGGCTCCTGGGCCCTGGGTGCACGGGGCTCCAGGGCAGACTGAGCGGGGCCTGAGTGCAGGCTTTGGGGCCCAGGAGAGGCCCCGTGGCCCTGCCCCAGGGGAGCCGCAGCTCCACGCGGCCGGCCGGCAGGGAAGGGGTGAGTGCCGCCGGGCAGCGCAGTGGGGCTTGTGTTCCCCTCAGTTTACAAAGGCGGTGGAAGCCGAAGGGCGCGAGGCCCCCAGGAGGCCCCCCAGCCGTGGGGGCCCCCTCAGAGAGGTGGGGAGGCAGGCGGCTGTGGGAAGGCCGGCCCACCGGCTGCTGCCTCCCTGCTCCCGCACCGAGGGCCGGGCCGGGGCGCCGCCCTGCCGCACGCCGGGTGCCGCTTCCTCTCGCCCGCCGCGAGCCCGCCGCACCCACCTGCGCCCGCGAAGTGCCTCTGGTCCAACAGCGTGTGGCAGACGGGCCGCGCCTGGCCCAGCGCCGCCAGGGCCCGTCCTCGGTGGAAGTCCGCGGACAGGATGTCGGCGCAGGGGCGGGCCAGCGGGGCGCCGCACCAGCACAGCCGGCAGTTATAGAACGCCAGGAAGCCGCCACCCCCAAGGTGCAGGACCAGCCTGGGGACAGAGGGGACCTGAGGACACGGACCCCAGCCCGGGTCGGGTGGGCCGGCACCGTCCGGTCAGCGGAGCCCGCG